TCCCAGTGGATACGTGCCGGGGGCACGACCCAGAGGAACCGCACAGAGTGCGTCCCAGTGGATACGTGCGGGGGCACGACCCAGAGGAAGCGCACAGGGTGCGTCCCAGTGGATACGTGCGGGGGCACGACCCAAAGGAAGCGCACAGGGGTGCGTCCCAGTGGATACGTGCCGGGAATAGCGCTCTGGGAACATGACGAACACGAAGTGGCCTACAGTTGACTCCGGGCATTCAGAATGTGGCCTGGGAATGGTGTTCTGGGAATACGAATTCACTCGCAATTCACTCACAGACGAAGCTCCCGCCTGAGACTTCCTCCATATTCAGGCCTGAGGAGCCCAAAAATTGACGACAGCTAAAGGGATCCGACGACCCGTTCGGATCAGTGAAATGACCTGCGGGCCCCATAGGGAGGGGGCTACCGCCTGAGACTTCCTCGCGATTCACTCAGAGACGAGGCTCCCGCCTGAGACTTTCTCCAGATTCAGGCCTCAGGAGCCCAAAAGTGACGACAGTTACAAGATCCCGATGACCCGCTCGGATTCGTAACATGATCTGCGGGCACCATAAGGAGGGGCTCCCGCCTGAGACTTCCTCGAAATTTACTCACTATGGGAGCCCCTCCCTATGGGGCCCGCGGATTATGTTATTAATCCGAGCGGGTCATCGGGATCGTGTAATTGTCGTCACTTTTGGGCTCCTGAGGCCTGAATCTGGAGGAAGTCTCAGGCGAGGCCCCCGCCTCATACTTTCTCCAAATCCAGGCCTGAGGAGCTCAAAAGTGACGACAGTTACAAGTTTCCGATGACCCGCTCGGATTAGTAACATAATCCGCGGGCCCCATAGGGAGGGGGCTCCCGCCTGAGACTTCCTCATAATTCACTCACAGACGAAGCCCAAGGCGAGTGAGTGAGTGAGTGAGTGAGTGAGTGACTGACTGGTGATGATGATCATCATCACACTCTCTCACGCGCACACTCATCATGATCATCTGTGAGTGCTGATGAGCCAGTGAGTGAGTGAGTGAGTGAGTGTGTGAGGGGTGATGAGCGAGTGAGTGAGGAATGAGTGATGATGATGATGGTGGGTTCCTGTTCCTGCGCGTGGTGTCCAGAGAAAACAAGAACCCCACTTTGGATGTGGGAAAATACCCCGAACACATACAGAAAAAGTCCAAACATATACAAAAAATAGTTTCCATACTGTTTTTGGGTAATGTTCTGCTAGTTTGGAAATACGTTTTAAGCTTTAGTTGAACGTTTGTAATTTTTGTTTCACATGTGTTTTAATGTCTTGTTGTTGCAGATGTGTTTGAATGCTTGTTTTTAGGTTTCGTCGAAAATCCTCCTGTAGGGGGCCAGGCCCGACTTAATCATAAACCTAGCACGCTCGTCTGAAGGCTCCTTGGCCCTGGACGGACCCACACCCCAGGCCTAGACCGGCGAGCACCTGACTCCGAAGAGATCCCCTCCCTCAGGGCGAGAGATCCAAAGGCAGCAACACAACTCCTCCTCCTCCTCCTCCTCCTCCTCCTCCTCCTCCTCCTCCCCTCCTCCTCCCCCCTCCGTCCTCGTCCTCCTCCTCCTCCTCCTCCTCCTCCTCCTCCTCCTCCTCCTCCTCCTCCGCCTCCTCCTCCTCCTCCGCCTCCTCCTCCTCCTCCTCCTCCTCTTCCTCCTCCTCCTCCTCCTCCCCCTCCTCCTCAAGGACTCACAATCAAGAGAAAGTATAGCAGCGCACTCGAGAAAAAAGGTCGTACACTTGGCCCGGAGGTCCGCAGGGGTGGTCAGCGGGCCTGCCGAGCCAGTCCGAGTTCTGCCCCCACCGGAGGGGCCCTGACCTCCAAGGACAGCCATGCGGATGTTGGGCGAATGGTCGAGTGCTGTCCAGAGGCTGTCCGATGAAGCAGAAAGCCATCCTTGCCTCAAGGACCGGCCAGCAGTACTATGCCCATGCCACGACCACCATCGAAGACGGGAATGCTGTTCATCAGCCGCCAGGGCCAAGCCATTGGATGCGAATGCACAGCTGCATCACGATCGCACGTGCAAATCGGCAGTGCCGTTGTTGGCGCGCATGTCTCTGACATTGCATCGCGGACGTCGTGCAGTCGGGCTTGATTGGAGAGGGCACGCGAGAGGACACAAGGCCCTTCCGAGGGCTACACTGCTATACGAATGTAACAGGCACGGGCCTGTCAAGATAGGCTATAGAAGTACCCTTGACTTGGCAGGGTCGACCCACCAACCAAGGCCGACCGTAGACGGGACGAGCTGGGATTGGGGGAGCTTGAGAGGGAGAAAGACAGGAGGGCAGGAGGTGTAGTGTAGGAGAGGGGAGGCACAACCGATTGTGGGAGAGGGCGGGGGGCGTGAGAGGCGGATGAGGTGGCGACGAGGAGAAAGGAGCGCGAGTGAGGCCTGCGGAGGCCTCCGCGGAATGAGAGCACTGCACAGAGACATGCAAGAACCTGAGCCAGGCAGCCTCTGGGAGGGTGAGGGGAGTGGGGCAGCTGGGACGGCAGAGACCTGCACAGAGACATTCAAGAACCTGATCCAAGCAGCCTCTAGGAGGATGAGGGGAGGGGTGCAGATGGGACGGCAGAGACCTGCACAGAGACATTCAAGAACCTGAGCCAAGCAGCCGCTGGGAGGGTCAGGGGAGTGGGGCAGCTGGGACGGCAGAGACCCACGCCTCCTGCGGCTCGGCTTCTGCTCGAGACAGGGGCCCCCAGACCTCTCGACACCCTCCCCATGGGCCGCTTCGTGCCAGATCGGCTTTTACCAAAGGCCGAAAACACGTCAGGGACGATGGGCCGAAAACACGTCAGGGTAGCAAACGCACGAACTACCTCTGTTGTGATGATTGTTGAGGACGATGGGCCGCATGGATCAGCGCAGATAGACGGGTTGGATCAACGCCACCCTGCGCGGCACTCAACAAGTTCGCTCGGAATGTGACGCGCGTTGCTTCCACTTTACAGCGCCATTCCGCGCGACGGCGGCGCTTTCCTTGCACGTTCCCGTCGGCCGCCTTCCTCCGATGGCGTGGGAGGAGAAGAACGGTCGGGGGCGGAGGAGGAGGTGGAGGAGCAGAAAGGGCGAGCACCCGAAGGACGAGGACGAAGAGGAAAAGGATAAGCTGGAGCGCAGGAGGGAGGAGGAGCAGAAGGGAGAGGGTCAGAACGAACCCAAGAAGCATCAACGATGCTGTGACAGACCGTCTCGCCCAATGCCCCCTCCTTCCGAATAGGTGATCGACTACATAATGGATTTACCCCCAGATGGTTACCCCGCCAAGTCTATGACAAGTACGCCGACTGCTTAGTAGGTTAACTGAATATTATACACTTTTCTGTTGTTCATCCGACGAACAAACAACAATTTGGGGGTACAACAATTCTGTTGTCGATCCCAGACATGATCCGCAGTAACCAGTCGTCCCGTATCATATGGATGCGCGATACGGATGCGAGGGCCTTGGTTGCCCTTTCGAAGCTTCTCGGGCGGGGCGATGCCGACGAAAGTGGCCAAGGATGGACCGATGAGGCAAGGAAGGATGCAAGGGTATCCTTGTTGCCAATCCTTCCTATGCGGGGTGACTGAAAGTTGAGGGGCGACGATAGGGGGGGGATAGGAATAGGGGGGGAAACGTCGACCTGGAATCGGCGATACATCGCCGAATGATCGGCGATAGGTCTCCGATCGTGAATCCACACTTTCCTGGGCAGGTTGGGGCTATCGGGCCCCTGTCGGCGATCGATGGGCGATTGGATGTCGATGCGTCCCCCCCCTTATGGCTATCCCGCCCCTATCGCTGCTCCCGATCAGTCCTCACTGGCACCACGCCTGGCTACATGCGGGAAGAGCACGCACCCCCCTGACAGTTGACCAGCGCCAACGGGCCTGCCTCCCAGGCGAGAGCCACCTTCGAGGAAACGGGCCTGGCCCCCCCGCTCTCCCCCGCGGCGTCTAGTTCTTGCTGCACAGGTGTTACGTATCGGGCACGATCGGACCTAGGACAGACGAACAACCTTCAAGAATATGAGACCCTCCAGGCGCGAGCCACCTTTGAGGAAGAGGGCCCGCCCTCCCCACCCACCCCGTTTAGTTGGTGCACCATGGCGCACATCGGACACGGTTGGACCCAGGACAGAACAACATCCTTCAATCAGCTTTGGCGTCGTTGGCGAGGCAGAGGCACTCCGCTCCAGCGTGTGGCGATTCGGGGCGGCCGAAAGGCGAATTGACCGGCGTGCAAGAGGAAGGAGGAGGGGGAAGCGCTCAGACGTGGAAGAGTTCGGCGTAGAGCAAGCCCGAGCGCTCAGCCGAGGCAGCGGGGGCGGTGGCAACAGCCGGGGCCGAGGCATCCTTGAAGAACATCGGACCCTCCGCGAGCCAACGTACTCCAAACCATGAGACCACTCGGGGGAACCCTCCCCCCCGAGGCACAAGAGCATCCAACAAGCACGAACAACATAAGTGCACCCTCCCCGAACCGATCTCGAGCTTATGCCTCCGTCCGACCGTAAAATCATTTTGATGAGGTATCAGGCGAGAGCCCCAGATGAACGAGCGGCAGGCGCAGGAGGAAAAGAGGAGAGACAGGAGGATCCACTTCTGCAAAGGGCCTTTTGATTTGTCCTGGGGGGGCCAAGGGACGCTCGGTGCGGCAAATCTCCAGACGACCAGGCTCTGAGGATTCGCGTTTGCTTCATGCTCACAACAGTTTTAGATACCAGGCGGGATTGAGCTGTGAACGACTGCAGGAACCCTGCTCTGTCAGCTTGAACACTGTAGCTTAGCGCTTCAACCCTGCCGTCTGTCCCTTCCGCAACAGTTCGCCTCTGAAGAAATAAATGACCATGTGAATACAATCCAGACGTCCAGTTGGGCCACGTTGCACGGCAACTCTCAAATGACTGCTACGCGTGGTGCCCAAGGCGGCCAGATGGCTTGCTACTACACAGAGCGCGGCGGAAGCAGCAGAAGACAGCAGTGGCCTCAGCAAGAAGCTGAACACAGACGTATTCGCACGCTCCTCCCATCAGCAATCCTCTGAGCCATATGCTCTCGTCGCAAACGATTTTCCCACAATCCATACACCTTCTTGGTCGCTTGTCTGCTTCTCACCGGCCTGCATGTGAGAACCTGCGCTCGTAGCTTGCCCTTCGCTGGAGTAACAAGCCCTTATTCACCCCCTCCTCCTCCCCCTCCTGCTCCTCCTCCTCCTCCTCCTCCTCCTCCTCCTCCTCCTCCCCTCCCCTCCCCTACCTCATTCCACGCTCAGCCTCCCCCTCCTCATCCTCCGTCCTGCCTTTCCTCGGTATCCTTCCTCGCCGCCATCGTATCATTACCACCACCGTCTTCAAGCACCTGCACAGCGCCTCCTGCATGCATGTCTAAAGGGCGAGCCGAGGTTAGGAAATGAGAAAAGAAGCCTTGGGGGGGGCAAGAAGGAAAGGATGAGGGGAAGGGAACAGGACATACGAAGTACGCAGGACCTGGCCCCACTCCATCGATCTCCCTCGCCATCGCCTGGCCCCTCCCCCCCGCTCCCTCCATCTCTCTTTCCCCTGCCGTGCTACTGTCTCCCCAATCCATCCCCTCCCCCCACTCTCTCCTCTGCTCACTCCTCCCTCCTCATTCCCCCTTCGCCTCCTCGCTCTCTCATTCTCTCTCTCTCTCTCTCTCTCTTGTCTTTCTCTCTCTCTCTACCCCCCTGTCTCTCTCTCTCTCTCTCGTTTCCTCTCTCTCTCTCTCTCTTCTCCTACCCCGTCCTCATCTCTTGATCCTCCCCTCCCCGTCGCCCACCCAACAAATTTGATACCTGTCGCCCTCACCCCCATTGCAATGCGCATGGGCGTCGCAACTCACGGGGTCGCGACCTGCCCGAGCCCCCACCCTCCAAAACCGCCCCAGCACGCCCAGAGCCTCTTGAGGAGGAGGGGGAGGATGAGGACAAGGAGGAAGACAAGGAGGAGAAGGAGGAGGAGGAGGAGCAGGAGCAGGAGGAGGAAGAGGAGGAAGCGGAGAAGGAGGAGGAGGATGAGGACGAGGGGGACCAAGGAAAAGAGGAGGAGGAAGGGGGCAAGGAGGAGGAGGAAGACTAGAAGGAAGAGGGAGGACGAGGAGGAGGAGGAGGAGGAGGAGGAGGAGGGGAGGGGGAGGAGAAGGAGGAGGAGGTGGTGGATGGGGGAGGGGGGAGGAGGAGGAGGAGGAGGAGGAGGAGGAGGAGGAGGAGGAGGAGGAGGACGAGGAGGAGGAGAAGGAGGAGGAAGGAGGAGGAGGAAGAGGAGGAGGAGGAGGAGGAGGAGCCTCCAGCGCCTCCGCCTCCTCCATGGCAGTGGTCTCAATCTGGGGTCTGCGTGAGCGCGTCCATCTGCGCGGAGTCAAACTTCGTCTTCGCCTTGTGGAACCGAGTGTTCTTCAGGACCAGCACGTCGCCGTCGCTCATGGCCAAAACAAGCACATTCACCTCGCCGGCGGTCTGGCGAGCTGGGACGCACTTGATGCCATTCTTCATGCGCCCCCCCCCCCCAACATGTCGGAGCCGTTCTTGGTCACCCCTTTGTGGAGCCGCGTGTTCTCAAGCGCCAGCATGTTTCCGTCACCCATGGCCGAGACGAGCTCGTTTACCTCATCGGTAGACGTGTGGTCTGGGGCGAACTTAATGTCCACCTTCATCAGCTCCCCCAACTTCTTTGCCAGTGAGTTCAGTCTGAGATCGCACCTCGGCACACTGCTGTCGATCACCACGTCCACGTGGAGACACGCGTCCGACCCACCCTCCTCGACGTTCGGCTTGTCGAAGAGCTCGTCGTCGTCCACCTGTCGGTGGATCTCCTTGGCTACCTCGTCCAGCTCGTGCCGCCCCACACCGCACTCCGTGTCAGCGTCCCTCGAGCCTAAGATGAGGTGAGCGCCTGAGGTGTCGCAGAGCCCCTCGAACTCCCCGCTGGACAAGTCACCAGCGTAGGAGTCGGGCCCAACCATGGTGGCCTCCGAGCGGGCCTCGGACCCAGCGCCGGCGTCCAGGCCCTTCCATGGTGGTCGCCTGCTTGACGCCGTCACCGTCGGCGCTGTCGACAGGCTCCACACTACGTCCTTCTCCTCCGAGCCACCCGCTCCCAGCCAGCCGGCGCAGCGCCTGCTCGAGCGCCTCCTCGCCGAGGCCGGGGTGGCGGAGGAGACTGGCGGCAGTGTCCAGCCCCCTCCACGCTCGCTCGGGGCGCGGGGGGCGCCTTCCGCCTTCGGGCGCGGAGCTCGTCCAGGCCCTCCGCCAGCGTGCCCTCGCCCAGGGCGGCAACCGGCTCGGCGCCACGGCCGAGCAAGCGCTGAGCCCCGGCGCCGACCCGCGGGCGGCTCGCACCCGTCACCGCCAGGGCTTCAGCGTCGTCCACGACGGCAAGCGTCGTCGCCGCAACCGTGGCCATCTGGAGCTTGCGCGGCGTGTTCCTCCAGCGCGGCCATGGGATCCACGGGTGCACTCTCCAACACGGCCAAAGCAATCTTCTGGCGACGCTGGAACTCGGCGAAATTTAGTTCCCTCCTCTCCAGGAGGAGGAACAGGAGGAGGAGGAGGAGGAGGAGGAGGTGGAGTTCCGCGGCGTCCGCCGTGGGCGCCGTGGCCCGGGCCGCCCCGCGCCGAACCGTGAGGGCGCCTCGGCCGCCGCGCACCGTCGCGGCCGCCACGCGGTCGCCCCGCCGCGGGCGCCACCGCTCAAAGGCCGAACCGCAGCACGGCGCACCTGGAGCCAAAATGGCTACGGAAGGGGGAGGGAGAGGAGGAGGAGGAGGAGGAGGAGGAGGAGGAGGAGGAGGAGGAGGAGGAGGAGGAGAAGGGGGAGGAGGAGGTGGAGGAGGAGGTGGAGGAGGAGGTGGAGGAGGAAGAGGAGGAGGTGAAGCGGCACCCCCCCTGCTGGTGACCCCTGGCACTGGGGGCAACGTCAGGGCGGGGCGACCAGCTGAGAGGGGAAAGCGTCGAGCTGGAATCGAAGATACATCGACGGTAAATCGGCGATGGGCCCGCGATAGCGAATCCGCGCGTTCCTGGGCGGGCTGGGCTATGAGGCCCCTATCAGCGATGAGTGGGCGATTGGAAGTCGACGCACCCCCCAACCAGCCAATTCCCGCACAAAGTTGCCCCTGGCTTTCGGACCACAACAAACTCGGCTCTCTGGCGGTCGTTCGGGGCGACCTGATTAACCCCCAACGCTCTCGGCGCGGCACAGCTGCTGTAACGCACCCCGAGGCTGGAAAACCGCCGAAAATATACAAAACCATAGGATAACTAGAGGCCTCCTAGATGGGGTCGGAATAGATGGGGTCGGAGGATCGGGCCGCATCGGCGATACATCGGCGGCGTCGGCGATGCGTCGGCGATGCGTCGGCGACGTCCGCGTGAAGCAAACCGGGCTCCACATCGAGCCGCATCGCCGACGCATCGGCGATGCGGCGCGATCCTCGGACCCCGTCTACTCCGATCCCATCCAGGAGGCCTACAGTCGGGCTGCTGAAAGAAGGAACGATAAACAAGGAGCGAAGCCCCTTCATGGCCCCACGAGCGCCTGCGTGCACGAGGCAGGCTAGAGGAAAAAAGCCATAAAAGGACCTGAGGAATCTCGAGCCCCTTTCTTGCCCACACTGCTCCTTCTCTCAGCGACTTTTGGCTGCACTCCGATCCCATCCAGGAGGCCTAGAATCAACCCGAACAGCTTCTGACCTCCGAACGCTCGGGAGCGGCCAAGAGGGGGGTGTCCAAGAGGGGGGGTGCAAATCATGACCAGCGGCATGTGCGCGGCCCAGCGGGGGGGCCAGGGACGCAATGAAACAAGAAGAGGCGCCGTGACATCTGGGGAAATATCATGGCCCCCGCCATGATATCCACCCGACCCCCCCTAGTCATCACCCCCCTCTTTGCCGCCCCCGAAACGCTGACCCTGGCCTTGGCAGCTCCGCCGTGCCCCCGCGCGCGCCCCGCCCCCCCGGGGCAGCGCTCCAGGGCCGGCGGCGCCGGCCCGGGCTCCCCGGGCGGGGAGGGCAGCTCCGCCAGGGCAGCCTGGGGGCGCTCGGAAGAGGGGAGGGCGGGGCGGGGGGGAGGGGCGAGGCGACGAGGGACGAGTGCAGTGGGGACGGAGAGGGACGAAGAGGACGGACTTCGACAAGGAGGAGCATGAGGAGGAGGAGGAGGAGGAGGAGGAGGAGGAGGAGGAGGGGGAGGAGGAGGAGGAGCATGAGGAGGAGGAGGAGGAGGCGGAGGAGGAGGAGGCGGAGGAGGAGGAAGGGCAGAAGGGGAATGGCGACTATGAGCATCCCTCTCTCTCTGATGAGTGGCACGAATAGGACGGAGGGCGAGCAGGGAGAGGAGGACGAGGAGGAGGAGCAAGGACGAAGAGGAGGAGGATGAGGACGACCTCCAGATCCACAACACCAATCACGCCAGGAACTCTTTACCCATCTTCGGCCCCAGGAAGCCCCTATCAAGGCCCAAGGACACTCGAACAACGACTCGGGATGAAACGCCCGGCCTGGGGAAAACAACGAGCACTGCGTCGGCTTCCTGGGGAGGCAGACGAGCGCATGCCCCCGGCGTGCTCTTTCTCGTGGCGTAGGCCCCCGAAGGTCTGGGCCCGTTCTCTCTGCGACCGGCCCGTCATCCCGAGTCGTTTGCTCCACGGCGCCAGTGCCTGGCAAGCGCCCCCCCGCGGCAGAAAAGTGCCAGACGGCTCCCTGTCGCGGATCATCTCACCATGCGGGGAGACGAGGCGGAGGCGGACGAGGACAGGAAAGTCGCGGGCGAGAACGAGGACGACCCCCTCCCCCTCCACCCTGGGCGGCCTAGGCGCCCGCGAGCGGCGAGGATGAGGCGGCCCCTCCAGCTGGCACAGAGGGCCCCCCTTGGCACTGCCATGGGGGGGGCCTCTGCCAAGCGGGTGGCCCTCTGCCAGGCGGAGGGAGCCCTCTGCCACCTCTCAGGCTCCTGCTGGGTCGGGCATGTCCTTCAACGGGCGGATTCTGGAAGAAAGGAACAGGCGAAACTTAGCAGAAGTAGCCCAAAGACCGCGAAGAATCGTCCACAGAGAAGTGTAACTAGTGGCACATGCCCGACTTGCGGCTCCTTTTTAAGTTTGACCTCTGCTCCTTTGTGGGCCCCGGAATCGGCAGGGCCGTTTTTTCACCGTTTCCAAAGAATACCCATTGAACATGGAAACGGCAAAAAAACGGCGACCGGAAACGGCAAAAAAACGGCTCCAGGATCGGAACTGGAGCCGGAACCGGTCTAAAAACGGCGACGGAACCGGTAACAAAAACGGCGTCGGAGCCGCCAACAAAACGGCAAAACGGAACCGGTAAAAAAACGGCCCTGCCGTTTCAAGGGCCCGCTAAGGGCTCGCCCCTTGGAGAGCCACGGCGTGCCGCTCGAGGCCTCGCACGGGCTTCCGCCGCCCGCGGCACTGGAGCATTTCTGAAAGCCTGGAAGCCCCTGCATGCCTGAGCGCCCGGGCACCGGGCAAGTCCGCGCCTAAGCTCTGCTCCACACCGAGCATGGAGGCGGCCCGCGCATCGCCGCGCCCGCCATTCGGGCCGCACGGCTCCGCCACCAGACCGAGGCAGCCACGGGCGCGAGGCCCTCCGCAGTCAAGTGCGACGCCCCCCGCGGGCCCCGACGGGGTCGAGGTCAGGATCGGGATCGGCCCAAGGTAATTAGCCCAAGTAATACAGGAGCCACAAACAATGCATAAACATAATTCTCGGATTTCTTGGATCAACGCTTGACCCCTCTCCCTGTCGCGCAGAGCCCTCCAGGGGCGGCGTCGAAGGCAACGCCAAGGCGCCGATCCAAGAAACCCGCGCGAACCTCCGACATGTTAGATTATTTCCGTTTTGATGCTTCACGGTAAGACACCAAGTAACTTTGGACGCCCGAGACGGGTAAGGAAACCGGGCACAATGCCCAACAACAGGTGCTGTCAAAAACTCACGGCGGTCGCTGCAGGACTGGCGTTTTCCCGTCTCAAGTGGACAACGTCCGCGGCGAGACCGACAGCGTTCTCTGTTCAAGACGAGCAGGCACTGCTGTCGGCCTTAGTGCCCACTCTTCAGTTGGCGAATTCCAGAGAACCCTGAGCCCCAAAACGCGTTCATCCCTTGAGGCCGCATCTTTTGCTTCCGCCGCCTTCCGCCGCCTTCCGCCGAGGAAGAGAAGACATCTCTTTCCATATTCACGTCGGGCATGTCCCCCTACAGGGGGATTTTAGACATACAATAATACATACCCCAAACAAATTCAAACAAAAAACAACCACTAGCCAAACAAATCGTCCCCAGACTATGTGTTTGACTATTTTTGAAGATTCCTCTGTACAGGACAGGCCCGACTTGATTCTGCCCCCGAAGGCAAGGCTTTTTTCTCGCCATCGTTCGGACCTCCCTTCCCTGTACATTTTCTGGCTGCGTGCGCTCCCTTTATCGCACGATGCTCCAAGATGCTCCTCGACGGTCCTCGCCAAGAGAAAATCACACGTCCGAGCGATGCCAAGCTTTTGGCACGCCCCAAATACCCATGCCGACCGCGCCGAGAGGCGGGAGGGGCGGGCGGCGCGCGGCGCTCCCGGCCTGCACCAACTCGCCGGGGTCGGCGGTGGCCGTGCACCGCAGCGTCAGGCGCAGCGGGCCTGGCCGGGGCGCGGGGCGGAGGGGCAACGACAGGGTCGGGAGGCAGCTGCCGGGAGGTCCTCGTCGGAAGGACTAGGGAGAATGACGCCCCACTGGGGGGCCGCTGCGCTGGACTGGGCCGCGGAGCAAGCGGGAGGAAGCCCGACGGAGCGGGATCAAGCTGGACGCAGCGGGATGAAGCCAGACGGGGCCCCGGGAACGACCTGGCTGTTCTTTGTTGTTACCAGCTCCGTTTGGCCGTCTCTTTTGCCGATTTCGTCGCCGTTGTTCTGCCCGTTCCGTCGCCGTTGCCAGTTCTGGCTCCAGTTCCAATCCCAGGGCCGTTTTTGTTGCTCTGTCGGGTCGTCTCTTTTTCTAGCCGTCTCCATTCTGGTGCATCACTTTGTCGAAAACGGTGAACAACGGAAGCCCACGGGCCTTCTGAGAAGTTTTAGTGTCTTCGGGGAAGGCTTAGGAAACCTTTCAGAAGCCTGGGGGACTCCCGAGCCTTCTGAGAAGTCCCGCCCGTTCTCGCGTCCCCTGCTGGCTCTGGAAAGTGTCCCCTGGTCTGAAACGTCGCGGTCGTGCCGCACAAAGAGCAGGAAGAAACAGACAGTTGCGTCGCACACCATGCAAGCACGGCTACACACCTAACAGGCGCGGCCAGGGATGGGGGAGGGGACGGGAAGTGGGGGAAGGGACGGGGGGGGAAGGGGTGGGAGGGAGCCCCGCTGGGGGTCGTCGGTTATGGGAGCGACGAGGGGGCCTCACCACACGTTGGTTCTTGACTTTCTCGGCGTTCCTGTGGACAGGATGCCGCAGACCATGAGAACTTCGGTCAGCGCAATCCTTCCGGTCGCTGTCGCATGGGGCCGCCGCCGGTCGGCGCCATGAAGATGCGGGCGTCAGGGACCCGTAGCCGGGAGACGCAGCGGGGCAGAGGAATGGGGGGGCAGGAGGAGGGGAGAGATCGGCGGGAGCAGAGGGGAGGAGCGAGGGGATGGGGGTGCACGAAGGAGGAGAAGGAGGAGAAAGAGGAGGAGGATCAGTGCAAACGCGAGACGCATCAACGATGTTGCAATACACCCTCCCTCCGAGGTCCCTCTTCACAGGTCGCTAAAACATATATGCATTGCGGGAAAAGGCTCACTAGGAAACAACACTCGGGCCCTAAACCTGGCATTTCAACACCGCGAATTAACGTGACTACTGCGTCCTGGCAATCCTAACTCGTGCCAGAAAACCATTCTTGGGACCTCGACCTTCCACCATACGGACCCTTGAGCGACGATCAAAAACCGGTCTCACGCGGGATGACACAGCGACCATACGCGTTGGCTTAGGCGGGCCGCCGGCACGGCACGCCGCATTGGAGACGAGGGCGCTTGCGCGCGAGCTTACGCGGGCAGCTCACGCGCCGATGCCGGCGCAGACGACCCAGTTCAGTGCTGCGTCGCTCGCATGAAACTGCTGCAAAGGTTTGAGACAAGTGTGCGCGGAGTTCACGCGAGGGCCATCTTTTTGAAAAAGAGTCGCCTCCATAGGTGCAACTTATGCAAACAGATGAAACATGTGCGCAGCGCTAACGCGAGAGCCACATTGTGAAAATGAGCCGCCCTCCACCAGTGAAACTGCTGCAAACCTTGAAAACAACAAATGTGCACGGCGATTTGGCGAGAACTAAATGTTCAGAAACAACTCGCCCGCAATTCGCGAACATGCTGCGAACCTTTTAAAACAAAACTGCGCGGCGCTAGAACGAGAACCACATATTGAAACTGAGCCGCCGTCCATCCGTTAAAACCGCTGTGGACTTTGAAGATGACTGTGTGCGGCGCGAACGCGAGAGCAACAATTTCAAAACCAAGCACCCTTCATCACGCTGTTGAGACGAATGTGCGCGGAGGGAACGCGAGAGCCACATTCTGAAAATGAGCCGCCCTCCATCAATGAACCTTCAACGAATTTCAAGCTTCTGGAACAAAGGTGGCGAATGCGTCTCAGGCGAAACGGCCGCCCGACCCACCGCCACGCTTGGGTGTGCGACAGGGAGGAGATAGTGATGGATGGGGGAGGAGGGGGAGAAGTAGTAGGAGGAGGTGTAGGAGGAGGAGGAGAAGGAGGAGGAGGAGGACGACGACGACGAGTAGGAGTAGGAGTAGGAGGAGGAGGAGGAGGAGGAGAGGAGGAGGGGGAGGAGGAGGAGGAGGAGGAGGAGGAGGAGGAGGAGGAGGAGGAGGAGGGGAGGAGGAGGAGGGGGGTCGGCGAGGAGGGGAAGGGGAGGGGCAGGGAGGAGGAGGGGGAGAGGGGGAGAGAGGAGGAGGGGAGGAGAGCGGCGGGAAGTGGCAGGGAGGTGGAGGGGGGAGGGGAGAGGGGGGGGGGCAAGGTAGGTGCGCTCGCGTCATATCTGACGTCCTACCCCTCCCTCCTATCCCTTACCATGGCGCAGATCTCCTCCCTATTCGCACAATCGCATGTCTTAGAACGACGTAGCATCATGTGGCATAGCATGGTGTTGAACAATAACGCATAGCATGAAATAGCATAGCGTGGCGACGCCCCAAAATGAGTGCGGGGCTTCTGCGGCCCAAAAAATCAAATAATCGACACCGAATGAGTAATCACTTCCGAAAATGCGGCCAGCGCTTCAGCGAGAACAACATTTCGAACAAACAAACCCAATCGAAAACACGTCTCTGGGACATCTTGTGTACACAACCAGTACTCGGAGGGGTGCCGGCCATTCCCCGGGCGCCACCAGGGGAGAGAGGAGAGTAGCATTCATCTGGTTTATTTGTAGCGGCAAGAAGGGGGGGGTCTGCGAGGAGGGGAAGGGGAGGGGCAGGGAGGAGGGGGGAGAGGGGGAGGGAGGAGCAGGGGAGGGGAGCGGCGGGGAGGGGCAGGGAGGAGGAGGGGGGGAGGGGGGGGGGGGGCGGGGAGGGCCGAGGCAGGAGGGGGCGGGGGGGGGAGAGGAGCACACGACGGGGGGAGGGACGGCAAGGGGGGCGGGGAGGGACGCGGTGGGGCGAGGACGGCAGCGAGAGCGCCCTGCCGCTTCGACCTCCGAGCGTGCTGCCGTGCGTCGAGCTTCGCGCGCGCGCGCGGCCCGCTGCAAGGAACGAACAGCGGGGCACGCGAGCACATATGCGAGGTCTTGGGTCGTCGAGGCGGGGTCTGGGCCTTCGGGGAGGGGGGAGGGAAAGGGAGGGAGGGGAAGGGAGGGAACGAAGGGAGGGCGATGGGACAGGGCGAAGTGGGAGGAAGGGGAGAGGGCGAGGAACGGGGAGGGCGAGACGTGGGGAGAGCAGGAGGAGTGGTAGACGGCAGTTGGAGACTGCGACGGGAAACGGACATGGAGGTGAACGTGGGGGAAGGGAGGGGAGAGGCGAGGGGGCGAAGGTAGGACAAGCGAGGGCGATGGAGGATGAGCAGGGATCGGTCGGGGAATGAGAGGGGGAAGGGAGGGGGAGGGGGAAGGAAATGAGAGGGGATGAGAGAGGGAAGGAAAGGATGAGGATGAGGAGGAGGAGGAGGAGGAGGAGGAGAATCAGGAGCAGGAGGAACAGGAGGAGGAGGAAGAGGAGGAGGAGGAGGAGGAGGAGGAGGAGGAGGAGCGAGCAAACTGGGCACGCGAGCACACACGAGGAGGAAGGACCTGTGGGACTGGGACAAGGGGACCGGGACGGAGATGGGGGAGCGGCACGTGGGGAACTGGAGAGGCGACGACAGGGAGGGCAACGGCGATGGGAAGGGAAGGGGAGGGCTGGGGCACGGCACGCGGCGAGGTGCAGTGGTTGGCGGCGCGCCCGCTGGGAATGCAGCTTGCGCCCGCGGCGGCGGGGCGACTCCGACGCTCTGCCGGAGGCTGCAGGGGGGATGCCGACAAAGGGGAGGAGAGGAACACAGGCAGGAGGAGGAAGGAGGATGAGAGCGATGAAGCAGGAGGGGAGGGGGAGGGGACCGACTGGGGAGCGAGGAGGAGGAACGAGAACGAGGAGGGAGGGGGGAAACGACGAACATGATCATCCCTCGCCTGGGTTTCACGATGGTCTGCTGGCACCTCGGACAGGGGCCTGTTGCACGTGATCTCGACAGAGGGCCGGCGCAGACAAAACCGGAGACAGCCCTTCGGAAAAGGGCCACCATGAGACGAACCACAGGCCGAGGATACCTTCGGACGAAGGAAAATGGAGAATCTCCAAGATCTGGCGGCTCTGGATGATGTCTCGGGAGCCGCGGCCTTCCCAGAGCGTCCTGGAACGCTCTGCGAGCGTTCTGGAACGCTCTGGAACGGATTTGTCCTCGCCCTAGCCCCGTCCGATACTTCGGCGTCGCTTACTGGGGGGGGGCGATAATTCAGGGGGAGAAAGGTGTACTCCTCGGGCCCGACAAGGCCCCTCTTTAGATACGAACGGCCCCTTTCGGGCTGTAAGGGGTTCCTTTTCTGCAGCCCTCACTGCCCCCCCTCTTGATTGCCCCCACACTACGCGACGCCCAACGCTGGTACCCTCCGGCGCTCCAGGACACGCCGCCCGACCGTTGAACCTGCCGGCAGTGCTGGCCTGAGGTCGGGCGTCAGGCGAATGTTGGACGAAAAAATAAGGAACAAAATGTTCGAAAATGTTCAAAGATGGTCAACAAAATTGCCCACCGACTATTTTTTACTAGTTTTGAATATTCCTCCTGTAGAGGGACAGGCCCGACGTAATGCTGGCCAGCTGGTCCGGTCGTCTGCTGAGGGAGCCGCCGTCCGATGCCCCTCGTCCTGGCCCCATCCGGCACCACTCGAGCCCGGCTGGCACGCAGGCGGCCCTGCACCCGCCTCGGCACACCCCGTAGACGCCGGCGGCCAGCGCGGTGCCGCTGGAACCGCCTGTGGGGGGCGAGGCGGCGCTGGCCCCCACCGGGACGGCCACAGCGGGCCCCCTCCGGCGGTTCCGGCCCCAGACAGGATCGCGTTGTTTAAAAAATCCGGACGGGAGGTTTTTGGCTGTTTTCAGCCTCGGGGGGCCCTCGCCGGGCCTCGGGACCGACAGAAACAACTCAGGACGAAAAACTGGTCCAGGAGAAAGAGTCGGGACTTCCAGGGACGCCGTCCTGAAAGAATCAAGACGTCGCACGTCTGGGGCCATCTGCGTCGTCGCCAGAGCTGACCCTGTAAAACCGAGACCTGCGTCGCGAAAGACCGACGGCGGACTTTTTCCTTGTGACCGTTTCTTCTTTTTTCGTTTCCCGGATAACAGGTCGTTGCCCGGGGGGGGGGTCGGGCAGGAGGGTAACGGTAACGGCGGCCGCGGCGTGCACCCGCCAGTGTGCGTCCGCGCCACTGGCGCATCCATCGTCTGTGCGCACCACAGCATATTGGGGGTGAGTCCAGGCCACCCCCACAGCACGATCGTTAGCGTTACCCGGGGAGGGGAGCTTGGGCCTGGGAAGCAAGAATTACCCTGGGCAGGGAAAAAGAAAGCTCACTTTATTGTCGTTGCAACTTTCGGCTTCTGTTGTCGTTGCACCAGTGCAGCAAATCACGAACCACACGTTCCTACAATTCCCATCTGCGAACGGATCGAGCGAAAACGACGCAGCGACTTGTAGGAAAGCACGAGCCACGCGTTCTCACAATACCAAACACCTACATCGCCGTTGCCTACATCGCTGTTAGCCCGTCTACGGCGAAAGTGTCCAAACACCTGGCCGAACCTCCTGACATCCGCCGATTTGACTGTTTCAACCCGCGGCCTCAGAGGTCCCAGCTGGCTCCCCCGGGGCAGCGTTTCGTCCCGGACCCGTCGTTGAGACCCCCGTGGTCCGAAAACGGCCCCCGAGGGCCGAAATCGATGAGAAAATGCCAAATGAAGGAAGCATAACGTCAGAAATGTGGGACCGACGGCGACGAACACGACAACAACCCCGCGGGTGACCTAGGCAGGCTTAGAGCAGCCGCTGTTCCGACTTGAAGCCGCCAGGGTGCAGGCACTGTCACGATTTGAAATCGCCAGGGTGAAGTGTTCTGGGATCCTGATTTCAAAGATTTTCGACCAGAACACTTGAATCGTGATCCAAGTGTTCTGGGATCCTGATTTCAATCATGTTCGAGGCTAGGCTGCCGATCTCATGCAGCTCACCACCGCCAAGGCTGAGGCCAAGCCGACGATACCATGGCAGAGCAAAGGCGGACGCAAGAGTGGAGCCCAGAACACCCCCGTGGATGCCAAAAAACTCCCAGACGAGTGATGTTTTGTTATCAGAGACGGCAGGCCCCGGAAGTCCGAGCCTTTCCCAAACGTCGACTTTACATCCCGTGTCGTCCTTGCGGACGGCCCCAAAACCCGCCGAAAGCCCCTGCAGGGCGAAAGGGTGAAAAATCAAGCATATAGAGGACGAATAAACGGTATAGACATCAACTGTTGGAGGTCCGCGCGGATTTCTTGCATCTTGGCTGAAACCCCCTCCCTGGCGCGGATCCAAGAAATCCGCGCGGAGCGCCAAACCATTATGTTTATGGCGTCTTTCTTCTTCGAAATCAGTCGCGATTTTCTCACGACGCGAGCATGTCTGGGACGATAGACGGACGATGACGATGACGAGATCAATGCCAAGGAGGGTCACCACTGGGGGGGTCACGAAGTGGCCCCCAAGAACACTTCAGAACCTCCCAAAGCGACCCCACACGTCCCCAAACCTCGAATAGGGGATCCACTACAGAATTGGTTTACCCCAGAATTGATTGGTGTTCTCGTCGGACCCATGAGAAAATACGTCGAATAGTCAGGAGATCCACGGATAATTCAACGCATTTCTCGCGGATTCGAAGGGGAAGCAATGTTGGGGTAAGTCGACACTGTAGTCGACCCCTCACTCGAAAACCTGGAACCACCTCGAGCTTCTATTCTGGAGCCTCACCTTCGACAAGGCGGAAGCGACCCCCCTTGTGGTGACCACGCCGCCCGCCGACGGCGACACTAAACATCACGTGTTTTTGGAATGACAGCCGGTAGTCACGAGAATCGTGCGATGGGTCATCTCGGCGGCGACTCACCGCGGGTATCTCCGGAGTGGCGAGGACGAAGAGGCGGGGGCGCGGACGACGGCGACGCCGAGAGCGCGGGGAGGGAGAGAAACGAGGCCGGAGCGAGGACGAGAACGGCGGGGCCGAGGACGGCGAGGGGCCGAGGGGGCGGGACGAGATCGAGGTCGGGGACGGAGAGGGGCGGAGACGACGAGGCCGAGAAGGCGAGGACGAGGAGGCGAGCTCGTCCTCCTCCTCCTCCTCCTCCTCCTCCTCCTCCCCCTCCTCCTCCCCCTCCTCCTCCTCCTCCTCCCCCTCCTCCCCTTCTCCTCCTCCTGCTCCTCCTCCTCCTCCTCCTCCTGCTCCTCATCCTCTCCCTCTCCTCCTCCCTCCTCCTCCTCCTCCTCCTCCTCCTCCTCCCCCTGCCCCTCCTCCTCCTCCACCGAGCCGGCGGGGGCCGCCACCCGCCGCGCCCGCCGCCTGCGCGGGGCACGAGCACCAGCGGCCGCAGCTGCTCCTGCGGCGCCGCCTCGCCGCTCCTCCGAAGCCCGGGGGGGGGGTGCCCGACGCCGAGCAGGGACCGACCGTCCCGGCATTCCTATAGTCATACCACGAAATGTTCTCAGAACCCAAACATGTTCCAATAATAAAGAATGTTCTTGGAACATAAACCCGATGTGTTAAAACAAGACAGTCCCAACCAGAAATGTTATAAGAACATGTCGTGGGAACCACAAAAGGTTCTTAGAACATTGTTTGGTGGGGCTATAGGCGAGCCGGGACGGTTCGCCACTGCCTGACGACGGGGGGCCGCGGCGCCGCACGGGCGCGCGCGCGCCGCCCTCGGGCCGGCGGGCCGCCGCCGCCGCCGTGGCCGTCCCAGACGCGCTCGCACCGTGCAAAAGCGCCGTCGCCGTTTTCGTCGTCGTCGTCGTCCTCGTTGTCGTCGTCGTCGTTGTCGTTGTTCGTCCTCGTCGTCGTCGTTGCTCGTCCTCGTCGTCGTCGTCGTTGTTGTTCGTCCTCGTCGTCGTCGTTGTTCGTCGTCGTCGTCGTTGTTCGTCCTCGTCGTCGTTGTCGTCGTCGTCGTCGCTCGATGCGCCCCTCGGCCGCGACCTCTGGGGCCGGCAGGAGCGACGGGGGGGGCGGTGGGCAGGCGGCGGAGCGCGGTCGGCGCGGCCAGTCGGCATCGGAGTCGGCGTCGGCGATCTTCCCAGGCAGGCTCGCGCCGCACAACGAGCACGACGGCACGCGTCAAGTGCTTTCGGCCGCTGGGGGGGGGGCCCGCTGGGCATCCCAGGGGTCGCCGGAACAAGCGGCTCGGGATGACAGGCCCAGCGTTGTGGCGGAGACACTGTGTCCGCCTCCAGTGCAGTGCCGAGGAGGAGAAGGAGGAGGAGTAGGAGGAGTAGGAGGAGGAGGAGGGGGAGGAGGAGGAGGAGGAGGAGGAGGAGGACGAGGAGGAAGAGGAGGAGCAGGAGGAGGAGGAGGAGGATGAGGAGGATGAGGAGGAGGAGGAGGAGGAGGAGGAGAAGGAGGAGGATGGACCCCTCGGCGAGCGCAGCGCGCCGGAGGCGGCGCCGGAGGCGCCGCGGGGCCGAGCGCGGATCCAAGGAATCCGCGCGGAGCGCCAACAGTTCATGTGCATGGCGATATGTTTGGTCCGAAGGGGAAAAAAATCTGCTGGAACAAATCAAGGAAGTTCTCGCACCGCGCCCCGCGATCCATCGCGCCCCGCGAGGTGCGGATCCAAAGAATGGCGATTTTTCTGCTCCGAAGGAAAAAACAAATCGGGCCCTGCAGGACAGGAGCCATTCCATTGTTTTGCAGTCCCTGGGCCCGCGGAGCTCCCCCCAGGCTTATGTTGCTCCCATCGTACTTAAGGACCAAATCCCAGGAATAACAGCCAGCACCCGGAAAAGTGCCGAAAGAGTGTCGAAAGAGTGTCGAAACAGTGTCGAGCCCTCGAGTTTGGGTACTTTTGGTGCTCGAAATCCTTTCTGGTGATCAAGGCTGAAGTAAGTTGGAACATCATATCCCCGGGCCTCTGCACCGCCCGCGCAAAGCGAAAACCGACCTGCTTAGCACAGCGCCGGGCCCGCTCCTCTCGCGCGCCTCTCGCGCGCCGAAGAGGACCGCTCAGCGCCCAGCGGGCGCGGGCGGGCGGCCCTTGGAAACGACCAGGCTGTTTTTGGTACAGGCCTCGTTCTGCCGCTTTTTTCTGGCCGGTTCCCACGTCGTTCTGTTGCCCCATTCCGTCGCCCTTTTTTGTTCCAGTTCCGGCTCCGGTTCCAAGCCCAGAGCCGTTTTGTTGCGGGTTCCAGTCGCCGTTTTTTGCCGATCCCGCTTCCAAGAGACACTTTTCTGGATACGGTGAAAAAGCCGCCCTGCCGCTTCGGGGGCCCACTAAAGGGGGGGAGCTGACAGAAGCTTCCAGGATGGCGGCTCCGAGGATGCAAGATCCTGTTTGCAAGCCTCCAAAAACCAAAGCCTGCATCTTGCCTCCGTCATCCGAGCCTGCAAGGTCCAGCTGCTTGCTTGTAGCAGGATTTGTTTTAAAGGAAAAACCAACCATAACATTTGTTTGTTGGTTTTTGAGGCACACAAGACTGTGATTTGCCCTGTCTCGGCCTCCGCGGGGGCCTCCCGAGGCCTCCCGAGCCTCCGGAGAGACCTGCGTCCCGCGGCCAGGGCAGGGCCAGCCACGCCTCCAGGGGCCGAGGTGCTCCGCGGGCGACGCCCTCTGCAGCTCGCCATCGCCGAGACGTCCACCATTTCCCGTGCACGTCTTCCGGCTTCGTGCGCCTCATTTGGTTGGCCGGATGAACCAGGATGCACCTCGATGGTCCCCGCCGACAGAACAAAACAAAAAACACGTCTGCCCGAGCGATGCCACCTTATCTTCAACATTGGCAGAGCTCGTGGCCGCGTGGGCATAGAGAGCCTGCGGCCGGCGGAGGCCCAAGCCGCGGCTGCAGTCTGCCGTTGCGGCTCACACAGCATCAACTGGCCTCGAGAAAAATGGCCTCCTGCGGTTTGGACCGGGCAGACGCATCCAGGTGTTGAGATGCTCCGCGACTACGACCTCTTCAACATTAACGGAGCTCGTGTCAGGTCGGGCATGTCCTCCTACAGGCGGATTTGGAATGAAAATCAGACATAGGCAAACAATCGCCAAACATAGTGAACAGAGCACGGGACATCGTCCCAGACTATTTCTGTTCTACTATTCTTGGATATCCCTCCTGTAGAGAAGCATGCCCGATTTAAATCTCGTGTGTCAGCGCGGGGGCGTGGAGAGCTTGCGGCCCGCAGATGCCCAAGCCGCGGCTGCCGTTTGCCATGTGCGGCTCACGCCGCGTTCTCCGCAGCCGCGGGCGGCCCCGGGTCGTCGTCTGCACGCGCTTCGGAGACGGTGCGTGCCTTAATGGGCCCGAGAAACGGCAATGCCGCTGTTCCCCCGTTTCCGAAACGCGTCTCTTGGAAAAGAAAGCGGCAACAAACACCAGAACCGGAACCGGCAACAAAGCGGCGACGGAACCGTCAACAAAAACGGCGTCGGAACCCAAAAGCAAACACACAAAACGGAACCGGTAACAAAAGCGGCCCTGTCGTTTCCAGGGCCGACTACGGTGCGTCCTGCCTTTGGCCCCCCTGGACCAGAGTTAGGTGGGGCATGTCCCCCTAACAGGGGGACATTATGCGAAACATAAAACATAGTCAAAACATGGACCCAAATAGTCAAACATACTCGAAAAATCGTCCCCGGAACATTTTCTACTATTTTTGGAATGTTCCCCCTGCAGGGGGACAGGCCCGACTTAAGACCAGAGGCGCCCAAGCAACCCACGACTGGCAGCTTGCCGGGCGCCGTCCTGCAATCGAGCCCAGCCGCGACCACGGGAGAGGCTCGACAGCAAAAAGACAACCGCTCGGGAGGCCTCCCCGCCGACGCGATCGGCGGCGAGCGAGGGGGGAAGGGAGGAGGAGGAGGCCTTCTCAGGAAGACAGGGGGCTTCTCAGACGCCCCCGGGCCTCCTCGGAAGTGCTGCGCGTCTTGCGGGAAGACTTCAGGCTCAGAAACCCGCTCAGGAGGCCAGGGAGACCTCGTAGCCTTCTGAGAAGGCCCGCCCCTTATCAGTTCCCCCCCGCGCTCGCCGCCGATTCTAGCAGACCCTGGGCCACCTACCACTTCGCGCATCGCGCCCCGCGGTGATCTGTGCGCCCTCACGCCGCCCATCTCGGACCGTGGAGAGGGGCGGCCGACCTGGCCCGGGCCGCGACGCGGGAAGCGCAGGCATCGTCGCGGCCCCTCGGGGGGGCCCAAGCTTAGATGCGCCGCGGGCTCGGTCTGAAACCGCCAGGGTGGATGTCACATGCTGATCTGGACCTCCCTCCTCCCTCCTCCCTCCTCCCTCCTCCGCTGCCGCTCTCAAGCAACTTGCCGCGGCCAGGGCTGAGGCCAAGTCGACGGTACGGCGGCAGAGCGAAGGAGGCCGCAAGCGTGGCGCCCAGACCGCCGCCGTGGAGGCCGAACACGCCAGCTGGCCGCGCAATGACCGCCAGAACGGCGCCGAGGCAGGCCATCCGATCCGACGGCTCTTGGCCATCGGCGTGAGGGTCAAACCACCCATTCGGAGCCTCGGGAGCCTCCTGAAGGAGACAACGAGGAGGGCGACGACGAGACCGACGAGAGGAAGCAGAATGAAACGCAGGACCAAAGAGAGGAGAGAGGAGGAGGGGAGGAGGAGGAGGAGGAGGAGGAGGAGGGCAGGAGGAGGAGGAGGAGGAGGAGGAGGAGGAGGAGGAGGGGAGGAGGAGGAGGTATGAGGAGGATGAGGAGGAGGAGGAGGAGGAGGAGGAGAGGCGGAGGAGGGAGAGGGAGGAGGAGAGGAGGAGGAGGAGGAGGAGGAGGAGGAGGAGGAGGAGGAGGATGAGGAGGGGAGGAGGAGGGGGAGGAGGAGGAGGAGGGAGGAGGAGGGAGGGGAGGAGGATGAGGAGGAGGAGGAGGAGGAGGAGGAGGAGGAGGAGGAGAGGAGGAGGAGGGGGAGGAGGAGGAGGAGGGGGAGGAGGAGGAGGAGGAGGAGGAGGAGAGGGAGGAGGAGGAGGAGGAGGAGGGAGGAGGAGGAGGAGGAGCGAGGAGGAGGAGGAGGAGAGGAGGAGGAGTGCGGAGGAGGAGGAGGAGGAGGAGGAGGCGGGAGGAGGATGAGGAGGAGGAGGAGGGGAGGAGGAGGAGGAGATGGAGGAGGAGGAGGAGGAGGAGGAGGAGGAGGAGGAGGAGGAGGAGGATGAGGAAAGGTGATGAGGGGGAGGGACAAAGAGGGGGCGGAAGGGGGAGTTTGAAGCGAACGGCACCCACGGAGCAGACGAGAGCCGGCTGCACGGAAGCGCAGCCCCATGCCAGAGAGAACCCCGGTGCGCAGCCTGCCGACTGCTGCGTGCTGCGGCGGCACAGTCGCGGCCTGCGTGCTCGGATCTGCCTCCTCGGTGCCCCACGAGCATCGCACACTTAAGTGAAGGGGCCCCAGGACACACAAAAAAATACACACAAATTATCCCGGCAAAGCAACCTAACAGCGATGTGTAGAAGCATATCTGAAAGCATTCCCCTTAAGATTCATATGAAAATCCAGTTGTAGAATTCTGCTGTTCTCGCAGTCGTAGTCGCATTCGCGATGACAGTCGCAGCGGCAACGGCAGTCGCAGTCACAGTCTCAGCCTCAGCCTGCCTCAGCCTCAGCCTCAGCCTGCCTCAGCCTCAGCCTGCCTCAGCCTCAGCCTCAGCCTGCTTCAGCCTCAGCCTCAGTCTGCCTTCAGCCTCGGCCTCAGCCTCAGCCTGCCTCAGCCTCAGCCTGCATCAGCTTCAGCCTCAGCCTCAGCCTGCCTCAGCATCAGCCTGCTTCAGCCTCAGCCTCAGCCTGCCTCAGCCTCAGCCCCAGTCTGCTTCAGCCTCAGCCTCAGTCTGCCTTCAGCCTCGGCCTCAGCCTCAGCCTGCCTCAGCCTCAGCCTGCCTCGGCCGCAGCATCAGCCTGCCTCAGCATTCAAAATGTGGCCCAGGAATGGAGTTCTGGGAACTAGAAAAACACGAAGTGGCCTACAGTTGGCTCCGGGCATTCAAAATCATGCCCAGGAATGGAGTTCTGGGAACTTGAAGAGCACGAAGTGGCCTACAGTTTGCTCCGGGCATCCAAAATGTGGCCCGGGAATGGAGTTCTGGGAAATCGAAGAGCACGAAGTGGCCTACAGTTGGCTCCGGGCATCCAAAATGTGGCCGGGGAATGGAGTTCTGGGAAGTCGAAGAGCACGAAGTGGCCTACAGTTGGCTCCGGGCATCCAAAATGTGGCCCGGGAATGGAGTTCTGGGAGCACCAAGAGCGATTTTGCGAAGATGTCCCAAGCGATTTCGGCTTCGGCGGCAGCCTCCCCGGGTCCCGCCCCGACCCCCCTGAGGAGTCATGATCCTCTCTTTTGACACCACTAGAAACCTATCAGTCTTCGCTGTTAGGTAATAAAAGGATTCCCCGTATTTTCTCATATTTGCTGGGTTTTCGTTTCCCCCCCACCTCCGATATTTTCGCATCTTTTCCTGGCAGTCGACGATTAATTGTGTCTGTGTGTTTTATTCCCTCCTGACAAAGGTCACTCCGGCGAGGGACCACTCTGATATGTCGGCCGGCAGTGGGGAGCGCAAGCGGCAGGAAGGGGTCGAAAGCAGAGGGACAGGAGGCTTGCAAGTGGGCGCCAGCACCAACCCCGGGGTCTGCCTCATCCGAGGGAAGCTGACACTAGATGCTGGTCTTCGTGGCAATCTTTCGCCTGTCCTGGAAGCCAGAGCATTACCACCACCGCCACGATCGGGATCATCTTCCCTCGGTGGAGGCACACCGCCGATCCTGGTGTTGGTGTCAACCTCTAGGGTCAGGTCGGGCCTGTCCCCCTACAAGGGGATTTTGGACAAACCAAAAAAAACATAACCCCCAAAATGCTCAAATGATGGCCAGCATACTCAAAAAACAGTTCCCAGGCTACCTCTTGACTATTTGGAAACATCCCCCCCCTGTAGAGGGACAGGCTCGACTTAACTCTACAGTGGAGGCCCGACCACAAGATACCTTCCACAAGAAACCCAACCCTGAGACCCCAGGACGTCCGTCGATTTGTGGTGTGGGAACATCGCGCTTCCCATTGCAAAACCATCGAAACCCAAGAAACCCAGGGCACCCTGGAGACAAGCAGGGTGTTTCTTGGCACGCGCCCCCACTGTGGGGCCTCCGAAAGGCACAAACAGCTGCACAAACCTACCTTCTCCGAGGCCTGCGCGGAGAGCTCTTGGATCGGCGCCGGCCGCCCCCCGCCCCCCGCTCTGGCACGCGGAGCGCGTCGGTGGCCGCGACGGAGGCGCCGCCCAGTCAGTGGGGCCCAGCGCGGAGCCCAGAGAAATTGCGTTTCTACAGTTAGGCCGGGCCTGTCCCCCTATACAGGGGGATTTTCGACGAAAAAGAAAAATATCCCGGCAAAGCAACCTAACAGCGATGTGTAGAAGCATATCTGGAAGCATTATCCTTAAGATTCAGATCAGAATCCAGTTGTAGAATTCTGCTGTTCTCACAGTCGCAGTCGCATTCGCGATGACAGTCGCAGTGGCAACGGCATTCGCAATCACAGCCTCAGCCTCAGCCTGCCAGAGTATCAGCCTGCCTCACTCTCAGCCTCAGCCTGCCTCAGCCTGCCTCAGCCTCAACCTCAGCCTGCTTCAGCCTCAGCCTCAGTCTGCCTTCAGCCTCAACCTCAGCCTCGGCCTCAGCCTGCCTCAGCCTCAGCCTGCATCAGCCTCTGCGTCTGCCTCAGCCTCAGCCTCAGCGTCTGCCTCAGCCTGCCTCAGCCTCAGCCTCAGCCTCAGCCTCAGCCTGCATCAGCCTCAGCCTCAGCCTCAGCCTGCATCAGCATCAGCCTGCCTCAGCCTCAGCCTCAGCCTGCCTCTGCCTCAGCCTCAGCCTGCTTCAGCCTCAGCCTCAGTCTGCCGTCGGCCTCGGCCTCAGCCTCAGCCTGCCTCAGCCTCAGCCTGCATCAGCCTCAGCCTCAGCCTAAGCCTGCCTCAGCATCAGCCTGCCTCAGCCTCAGCCTCAGCCTCAGCCTGCCTCAGCCTCAGCCTCAGCCTGCTTCAGCCTCAGCCTCAGTCTGCCTTCAGCCTCCGCCTCAGCCTCAGCCTGCCGCAGCCTCAGCCTGCATCAGCCTCAGCCTAAGCCTCAGCCTGCCTCAGCCTCAGCCTGCATCAGCCTCAGCCTCACCCTCAGCCTGCCTCAGCATCAGCCTGCCTCAGCCTCAGCCTCAGCCTGCCTCAGCCTCAGCCTCAGGCCCAGCCTGCATCAGCTCAGCGTCAGCCTAGCATCAGTGGCCTCAGCCTCCGGGCAATCAAAATGTGGCCCGGGAATGGAGTTCTGGGAAGTCGAAGAGCACGAAGTGGCCTAGAGTTGGCTCCGGGCATCCAAAATGTGGCCCGGGAATGGAGTTCTGGGAAGTCGAAGAGCACGAAGTGGCCTACAGTTGGCTCCGGGCATTCAAAATGTGGCCCGGGGATGGAGTTCTGGGAAGTCGAAGACCACGAAGTGGCCTACAGTTGGCTCCGGGCATCCAAAATGTACGCTGGGAATGGAGTTCTAGCAGCGCCAAGAACGATTTTGCGATGATGTCCTAAGCGATTTGGGCTTCGGCGGCAGCCGCCCGGGGTCCCGCCCCGACCCCCCTGAGGAGTCATGATGCTCTCTTTTGACACCACTAGAAACCTATCAGTCTTCGCTCTTAGGTAATAATTAAACAATGCCCCCAAAGGGCCAAACAAATACCCCCAAATAATGGTCCCCAGACTATTTTGTGACTATTTTCTGGGATATTCCTCCTGGAGAGAGGCGGACAGGCCCGACTTAATTCTACAGTTCTCGCTCCTCGAAAGAAGGGGGCGAAAGAGGAGTGCTGGCGTGTCCCCAGCGCGGAGCTCAGAGAAATTATGTTTCTACAGGGAGTTTGAAAAAACAAGGGTTAAAACAACATGGTTTTTTGAATTCTGGTCTGTCGAGTATCATGTGCGGGATGACGGCAGGGCGTGGCACGAAACAAGGAATTTCAAACACATGCTTTTGGAGTAGGTCGCGAGGCTGAGCCCGGGCATGCCGACCTAGTTTTTTTTTTTGAACTCCCCTGTACACTTTTTCGCTCCTCGAAAATGACATCGGCCTGGGACAGAAACCGACAGACCTGGACCCGCAAAAATGACGGCCGCGACGCCCTCTCGCGAACCGAAAACGGCCAATTCCTTACTCGACGTGTCAGGGTAGGAGGTCCACCCCCGATCATTCTACAGTTCTCGCTCATCGAAAGAAGGGGGGCGAAAGAGGAGTGCCGGCGTGTCCCGGATCGCCCGCGCACCGCCGCCTGCTCCGCCACGTTGCCCACGGGCCGCGCAGCGTCGACGCCGATCGCCTGCCCGGGCAGGCCCGAGCCCCACCGCCGCGAGGGCAGGCCGACACCACAGCAGCCCAGCCGACAGGGATGAGGAGGATGACGAGGATGAGGACGGTTGGAGGATGGAGGACACGGAGGAGGGGGGCAAGGGTGAGAGGGGACGAAGAGGATGAGGACGGCTAGAGGATGGAGGATGCGCATGGGGAGGGAGGAGACAGACGGAGGAGGAGGGAGGAATCCGAGGAAAGAGGGTGGAGGAAAGATGGACGAGGATAGGGACGGAGGAGGGGGAGGATGCGGTGGATTGATGAGAGAGGATGGGGGAGGATGGAGGGGGATGAGGAGGTGGAGGGGAGGAAGAGGACGAGAAATATACACACGGGAAAAAGGACAAAAAGGAAGCACGAGAGGGAAGGTCATCACCGTCGTCACCATCACTGCTCCCATCACCGTCACCACCACAATCACCCTTCACAGCACCACTGCCCGCCTGTCCGCGGTGCCACCTGCTCCACGCCAGGGCAGGAAAAAAGCCACGCGCCGCGTGCACGCTCCGACTTGCTTTGTTCCACTGACCCTGCCACGCACCAGCTCCAACCTCGCGCGATCCTCACCTCCCGCATGCTCTGCGTAGGAATACCCCATCCCCCGAAGTCGGCCTCGATGTGAGGCAGCAGCGCAGCAATGCTGAAGGAGAGCGTGACCTGACGCGCGCGAGCAGGGCAGCTTCCGAGTCTGAGTGCACGCGGCAGGCCTCCTTCTCGCTCCCGCCGCCGCTTCGGCACCCGCTTCAGCCGCCGCCCCCGCCGCCACAAATTCGACCTGCTTATGTCTGCCCGGGCTCCGAAAATGATTCCACCGGCCCCCCTCACATTCACTCGAAACTTGGGCTGTGAATTCAAAACCGCTAAAGTGACAATAAGCCTGAGAAGCTCGGTCAGCTTCCGGCAAATTCCTCCGATGCGCGCTCGTCCACCGCCCACAGCGCAGCGGGACAATTGCTTTAGGGGCGTTAGTTCTGAGACACCTCGCGCGTGTGGCACCTCCAAGTCAAGAGTGTGGCACAGCCAGTGAAACCAGACACCTCCCAAAATAACACAGGAATGCCGGAGAGCCCGAACCCACACATAGAACCAATCACTGCCGAGCAGACTCGCCTCGACGTCCCCACTCGCTTCACAGGCTCCCTCTTCTCATCCCTTTACCCGCCCCTCCGCATTTGAACTTCCTCCTTCCTGTTCCTTTTCCTCCTCTTGCTGCTGCAGCTCCCGCTGGTGCTCCAAATCTACCTCCCACTGTCCCACCCCCTTCCTCCACCCACATCCCCCGTATGCCCAAAAGATCGCGCATCGAACCTAAAACCCGCGAACCTAGATTTTCCTCCCCTCTCCCCCCTCCTCCTCCTCTCTTATCCCGTCCTCCTCGCGTCTCTCCTCCTCCACCCCTGCGCGACGCACGGACAGGGGCGTCCGCGACCCTCCCCCGGCCTGGTGCACGAAGAGGAGCGTCTGCGGCAGCTCCAGCTCCAGCGCCACCAGCTCCACGCGGTTGCAGGAGCTCTTCGAGACGGCGATGTTGGTGCAGTGCACCTCCGTGGGCGCGAGGGCCCTCCCCGCAGCCAGCGGGGCCGGCCCAGGGGAGGAGGAGGAGGAGGAGGAGGAGGAGGAGGAGAAGGAGGAGGAGGATGGAGGAGGAGAAGGGGAGGAAGCAGGATGGAGGGGGAAGAGGAGGAGGAGTGAGGGAGGCAGGAGGAGGAAGGAGGAGGAAAGGGAGGAGGGGAGGAGGAGGTAGGAGGAGGGAGGAGGAGGAGGAGGAAGAGGGAGGAGGAGGAGGAGGGAGGGAGGAGAGGGCAGGGCGAGCTGTCGCAGCAGCAGGGGCGGCCGCAGAGCTCGCGGGCAGGCGGCACAGCGGCCTGCACATGCACTCCGGCAAGTCCGCGCAGATGTTGGAGAACGGGCAACACACACACACCCACACACACACACACCCGTAGGGGGGTCGGCGGGAGGCGGCGGGGGGAGGACGTGCTATGGGTATGGGTGCGGGTTGCCGGACCGCGGGGGAGGCTCCCGTTCGAGCGGGGACCCCCGTCCGACAACACGCACCCATGGCCCCCTCCGTCCTCCCTATGGGTATGGGTGCGTGTTGTTCGTTCGTCAGATTTGGCCGGATCGGCGCTGAAACCCACGCTCCGGCGCGCGGAGCGAGCGCGCCGAGGGCGGCGCCGGAGGCACCGCTAAAGGGAGGGCTCAGCGCGGGTCCGTGAGGAACTCCGACGGCTTCTGTGCTCCGAGATCCCGGGATGTTTTCGACTGCGCTGATACCCCAGACGGATATCTCAGAGCACGCGCCCAGACTGAAGCGCAACCATTACGCACTCGGCGCAGAAGCCTGGAGTACGCCATGGACTCGCAACAACCTCGTTAGAGCACGCTCCTCCTGAGGACTGGGAGGCGGAGCGCACGTGGCAAATGAGGACCAGGAGGAGGAGGAGGACTGTACGCGGCAGAAAAAAAAAGGCGTCCGAGGTCCGCGGCGTCCGAGGTCCGCGGTCGGTTCCAACCGAGATGGCGTCGTTGTCGACGGGCCCCCCTCACCCAGCGTTTAAGACGGAGGTCGGGTAATATCCCGCGGGATCAGGCGGATTATCGCGTTCGATGTGCTTCTGCCGTCCACTCTGGAAGCGACTAGCCACGATCGAGCTCCTGGCGATGGCCGCAAAGTAGGAACATACTACAAGAAATCTGGTTGTAAGATATCTAGAGGCACATGTGCCTTCAGGCTTGAAGCTTCCTGAGGTGACCCAAGGTTTCTGTGGGCCCTCAAGGTCTTCGGGGGAGAAGGAACTCCCGTGGGGCACCTGATGGCATGGCCGGTTTCTTACTTGACGTGCCTGCTGGAATGGGAGAAGGCCCTGCTGAACCGATGTAGCAATCTTCTGGAAGTGGTCGCCCTGGCCCTGGCCAGCAAGGGCGTAGGCAGGGCAGGGGAGCTGCCAACACCGCCTGTGAACGCAGGCCACCACGGGCCCTGCCAGAGCGGGGGAACGCCGCCGCATCAGCCAGGGGCGGATTGCCAAGCTCTCCCTCTGCGCCTTGCCCTATGCTCCATCACCCGCAGCCGCCGACGGATCCAGGCAGGCAGGCGGGAAAGGCGCCGAGGCGCCGCCTGCGGCGCCACGTTCCCCAAAAGCCTGACAACGACAGGCGAGCCAGCGCGTCGCGGCGGCGGCCCCGGCGACGCGCCGTGCCCTGGCGGCTGAGCTCGTCGCCCCGCAACGCGGGGCGGGGGGCTGGGACTTTGTGGGCCCAGGCGAAAATGAAAACGGCAAAAAGACGGCGACCGGAACCGGCAGAAAAACGGCTCCAGGATTGGAGCCGGAGCCGGAACCGGTCAAACAACGGCGACGGAACCGGAAAAAAAACGGCGTCGGAACCGGCACAAAAAAACGGCAAAACGGAACCGGTGAGAAAACGGCCCTGTCGTTTCCCAGGGCCCACTAAAGGGCTGGGAGAGGCTCGGAGAGCGTGCCGCTCGGCAGCGCGGTGGGCCGGGGCCCGGCGGCGAGAGGCACGCCGAGCGCACGCTCCCGGCCGCAGAGGCGGAGCCCCCGGGCCGCGGGCAGAGGGGCCACGCCGGCCTCCTTCTCAGAGCACGCGAGCACGAGGCGCGGAGGCGCCACGGCGCCGGTGCGCCGCGAGGCGAGCTGGAGCAGCAGGCCACGAGCCTCTCGCGGATGACCCCGCGAGAGGAGCTGGGGAGGCAGGCCAGTCGGCGGCGCAGCGCTGGCCCGCGCGGGCGCCAGCGAGTTCGGACCCAGCCGTGCCGGAGAGTTCGCGAGCCGCAGCCCACGGAGACCTCGAGGGCCCGAGAGCGCCGCCTGTCCCTCCCCCTCGTCCGCGGCCCCCTTATACGAAGAGTGCAAGGCTCAACGCTGCTTCCCGTGGCATCCTCCGACCTTCTGCAGGCTTCAACCCAACGGTGCCGCTCTCACGCTCCTCCGCCACCCTCCACGGATCCATGGGCAAAATGTGCATCAGATGCAGGCCGCGTGCATCAACAGAAACCCGTGCGTCCTGCACACGGAGAATGAACACCACGCATCCATGTATGTGGGCGATTTCGAAAACCCTGGGTCAAAACACGCTTCCATCTCTTGGGAGCGACTCGGCGGCCTCGTTTTCCTTCCGCCGCCTTGCGCCGACCTCCCGCCACGGAAAAGGTGCCAACTTCTTCTACCCTCGAAGGCGATGCCCTGTTCTGGAACGCCCCGTGTGTACTCCGTAGAGTTCGCAGACACGAAGAAATGTGTGTGTGCGTGTCTGTGTGCGTGTGTGCGCGCGAAACCCAGAGATCCGATGTCGTAATTTGTTCCATGAACGGTCCCGGGAAGCCTTGACCCATTCCCCAGAACCGGTTTTTCGTCCTGGGTTGTTTTTTGACGGTCCCGAAGCCTGGCGAGGGCCCCTGGGGGCCGAAATTTGTGAAAGAGCCTCCGTCTTGATTTTTGTCAATGCGATGGATCTCTGGGTCGGCGATCCGGCGCCATCCTCCGACGCCGTCGGCTCGCGAGCCCCCTCCCGGGAGGCCCCGGGAGGCCTCGGGCGAGCCTCCCTTCGCCGCCCGTGGCTCCGGCCAGGGCGCCGAGAGGCCCGCCGCGGGCGCGCGCAGCCCCCCCCCCCCCCCCAGCGTGGCCCTCGGGGCCGCCTGGCCCTCCGTGCGGCCTCCCCCGGGGCGCAGAGAGAGAGAGAGAGAGGGAGCGAGCCGTGCAAGTCCGGGGCGCAGTGGCACTGGCAGCACTCGGGCTTCTACTTACGTTGTTCCCCATCCTGCTTAAGGACCGCATCCCAGAAATAAGTTCGAGCACCCGGAAAAGTGTCGAAAGAGTGTCGAAAGAGTGCAGAAACAGTGTCGGGCGAGTGTCTCCCAGGGCCCGACACGTGAAAACCCTTGAGCTTCGGTACTTGTTTTCTGGCGCTCGAAATTCTTTCTGGTGATCAATGCTAAAGTAGGTTGGAGCATCATAAGCTTAGCTTATACAGGCGTTCAGAAGCAGAGGCGCCTGGAAGCTGTGCGCCACGCGTGCGCGGGGCCCTGCCACAGGTCTCGCAGAGGTGCTGGTCCACCTGCTGCCTGGCAAGCGAGGTCGTAGACGCACCGATTCCAGGTATTTCTAGGCCGGCCGCGCTTGCGAGGACGCACAGAGACGTACTAGTTCTAGATGTCCTCCTTGGAGGCGCGCGCCCGACTCCAACATACAGTATGCCCATCTTGTAGTATGTCGTTTCCCGAGCAGTGGGACCGGAGAGCGCCCGCCACGACGCCCCTGGGAGGGCGACGCACACATAGCAGTAGAATGTTGGGGTGTCGCCGATCCCCCTCCGGCGGCAGCCCGCAGCCCTCTTGGCGCAGGCTCGGGCGCCCCGATCGCCCAGTCGGTGCTCACAGCGGCCGGATGAGTACCCCAATAAGAACCCCTGACCCCTTGGGAGGGGTCCTCAGTGAGGAGGGCCGGCGACACAAGGGATGGGGCGTCTATTCTGTCGACGTATCAGACCAAGCCACCCATATCCCTTATCCCTACAATTTGAGCAGGGACCGACCGTACCGTCATTCCTATAGTCCTACCACGAAATGTTCTTAGAACCCAAACATGTTCTAAGAACCAAAAACATGTTCTTAGAACATAAACCCGATGTGTTAAATCAAAATAGTATCAACAAGAAATGTTTTCAGAGCATTTCGTGGAAACCACAAAAGGTTCTTAGAACATTGTTTGGCAGGGCTACAGGCCAGCCAGGGCGCTTCGCCACTGCTTGACTCATGCGGTAACAGGGACCTCAGTGAGGCCGCGTCTTCATCGTGCTGTTCGGGTGGGGGGCTCCTGTGTCCTCGGGCGGCTGGAGGCGGAGCGCCCCGCCGAGCGTCGGAGGGGAGGAGCCGCCGTGACCTCGCACTGCGTCAATCGCATCCTTCTCCCTTCCCTCCGCCTCCACTCCTCTTTGGACGCCCGAAATGGGTACGGAAAAAATGGGTACAATGCCCAACAACAAATGTTGTCCCAAACCAACAGCGGCCGCTGCTGGGCAGGCGGCCTTCTGTCTCGAATGGACACAGGCCGCGGCGGCGCGGACAGCGAATGAACAGGAACTGCTGTTGGGCATTGTACCCATTCTTTCCGTACCCATTTCGGGCGTCCAGATCCTCCGCCTCCCCGCCCCATCCGCCCCCGGGGCGCCCGCCTCGGCCTCCCACAGCGAGGGGGGGGGGGCGAGCACACATCTCGGCGCCCCTCCCGCGGAGAGCCCCGCCACGGCGACGGGGGGCCTCCAGGACGAGCAGCGGCCTCGGCATCTCGCCCCCGCCTGGAGCTTCTTGCCCGATTCGATTCGCGATCACATGCCCGCGTGACTGCCCCCCCCCCCCCCCGTGGGCACGCCACGACTCGCGCAGGCGCCGTCTGGGAAGTGGCCGTCCTCAATCAGTCCCCGGTGGCGTCGGCGCGCATTGTGACGCGACCGCCCCCCTCGCCCCCGTCCCCCCCCGCTCGCGCCCGTTGCCGCCATACGGGGTGAAAGAACTGTCTGCTGACCCTCGGGGGCGCGCAGGCATGACCTTGCGATCCATGGCTTCGGCGCGCGGTCGCCAAATCCATGGATCGGGGGAGGCGCCCTCCCCAGAGTGCGGCCCGTGCCCCCTCGCTCGGCAGCGGCTATCCGCGACTTACCGCGGAAGCGGGACCCGTCGCTAATCCACGCCCCCTTGATCCATGTTTGCGATCGCCCGAGACCCATCCCCCTCGAGGACTCCGCCTCGACCCCGCCTTCCCCCGCAAGGGGCCGCCGCCGAGGGCGCCCTCCCAGCCCCGGCCCTGGCCTGCACCCTGTCGATGCCGAAATCCATGGCGGGCTCGCCGAGGCTCCCTCGTGGGGCAGCGGACAGCGCGGGCGCGCGGCGGGGGCCCCCGACAGGATCACCACTTCTCCGCCCCCGGAGCTCGGAGCTGCGGTGCTTTGGGCGATGCCGCAAGCAGGGCGGAAAGTGTCCCGCCCTACTCTCTTCAAGATCCTCTGGTGCCGACGTTCTTGGCCCTGCTTTGCGCCCTCGCTGGTTCCGCCACGCCTCAGCGGAAATGGTCGCCTTGCTTTCCCGATGCCGGAAATACTCGCCACATGCTTGACCGCATCGTCTAGGGCGCATCTGATGGGCATTTTTTCCACCACCATCACGACCATAAGCTGGAGGGGGAGGGGATCCTCCTCCTCCTCCTTCTCCTCCTCCTCCTCCTCCTCCTCCTCCTCCTCCCCTCCTCCTCCCCCTCCTTCTCCTCCTCCTCCTCCTCCTCCTCCTCCTCCTCCTCCTCCGCCTCCGCCTCCTCCTCATCCTCCTTCTCTTCGTCCTCCTCCTCCTCGTCCTCCTCTTCCTCCTCCTCCTTTCACCCATCCAACTTATGGTGGTGGTGGTGGAAAACAAGCCAATCAGCATCTCCCAGACAATGGAAATTCAAAAGATCAACCAAAAGTGTGGCAGATAGGGGGTCAGAGCCCTCTTCCCCCTCGCGGCCCTCCGGGCCAATGGGTCGACGCCAAAGCCAGAGGGCGAGGGGGGGGGGGGGAAGAGGAGGGGAGATCAGGGGAAGGCGGAGGAGGAGGAGGAGGAGGAGGAGGAGGAGGACCGGGGAAGGAAAAGGAGGGGAGGAAGAGAGGGAAGCAGAGGGAGGGGAGGGAGGAAGCAAGGGAGACGAAGGGGTGGCGAGGAGGAGGAGGAGGAGGAGGAGGAGGAGGAGGAGGAGGAGGAGGACGACGATATGATAAGAGCACCGCTAGCGATCGCTGTCTCGCAGTCCTGCTTTACACCGCTGGCGAATCAGACCCCTGGCATGCAACTGGATATGTAAATAAGGCCGCTGCGAACACACAGTACCGCGACTGGCAGGCCACGGCTCTTAGACGCCACACACGTGGGCCAGATAGCACAAGCCGAGTGTCCGCTGAAATCCCACGACGCCCTCCATGGAAGCAACAAAAAACGGCACCACCACTACTACCAGCGCAGGAGCCAGGAGGGTGGTCCCCCTCCCCCTCGGGACATCCCTTACCTCCAGCTTGGGGAGGCATCGTACACAATCTCGCTGGAGGTGGCACCCTGTGCGGTGGTGGCATCGCTTTTCGTTCCTCCGATGCCCCCTCCCCCCCCGTTCGCCTCCGCACCCCGCCTGTTTCCTTTCTCCTCGTCAGCCCTTGGGGGTGCAGGACGGCCCTCCTTGGTATCTTTGATGCTGAGTGCCCAGCATCAGGGGAAGTTAGCCCCGAGGAATCCCGAGGAACAGGGGGAGGAGGAGAAGGAGACGAGCGTAGAAGGGGGAGGAGGAGAAGGAGGAAGAGGAGGAGGAATATGAGTAGCGGGGGGAGGAAGGGCAGGAGGGAGGGAAAGGGCGAGGAGACAAGCCCCCCACCCTCCCCACGCAGGAGGGGCAGGATGGGGCAAGAGGAGCAGAGGGGGGAAGCGAAAAGGGGTCATCTCAATCTCCCGCTTCCCCGTAGACTGGGCCCTCTCCCGGTGTGCTGGGTGCCTGGCCTGGTACAGTCGGGGCGCTGACCTAAGGACCGATGAATAAGGAACGAGGCCCCTTTGTCCCACAAGTTAGACTCCGAGTTTCCGTGGAAAACCTCAGGAAGACCCAAGGAACACTGCAAAACAACTAAGGAACACGCAGCCCCTCCCCAACGAAACGGGTTCCTTCTTCAGGGCCCCGACTGTAGACCCCATCCCATGTTGCTCCACGGCTGCTGCGCCTCCGCAGGAGGCTCTTCCCCTCGCGGAGGAGCGGCGGCCCGCACGGGGCCGGCGCGCTGGACAGGCCGCTGCGGGGCGCGCCGTCGCAGCAGCAGCGGGGGGGTGGAGGCGGGCACGCGGCGGGGAGGCGAACGAGGAGGGCGAGGAGCCCGACTCGAGGCTCGAGGCCCGGAGCTCGCAGCTTCGCGCTGTGCTTCGAGCCTCGACGTCCGAGCCCTCGGAGGGCTTCTCGTCGCCACGGCTGCACAGATCGTGCCGCAGCGCACCCCAGGAGATGCCTGGAGGAGCCGGTTGTGGGGCGGAGGAGGAGCAGGAGGAGGACGATAAGCGAAGAGCGAGGCGAGGCTTCCTCCCCCAGTCCCGCCCCTGTCGGTGATCTTCGGACCCGGGTCAATCCAGCCCCGGGTCAGCCAGGCCTTGCAGCATGGTGCAAGATCCTGCAAGATCCTGCACCCATCCCAAGCCAATGCGAAGGATCCTGCAAGATCCTGCAGGACCCCTGCAAGATCTGTCGCTCTGGCTGACCCCCGTTTGCATTGATTAGAAGAAAGAAAACACAGAATCGTAAACTTTTGGCGCTCCGCGCGGATTTTTTTGGACCCGCGCTGGACCCCCCTCCCTGGCGCGCGGAGCGCGCCAGGGGCGGCGCGCCGCCGGGGGGCCCATGCGCGGGTCCAAGAAATCCGCGCGGAGCGCCAAAAGTTTATGGTGATGTGCTTGGTGTTCTTCTTCGATGGACCCCCTGACTCAAGGCCCCCCCCCCCCCCGGCGCGCGTGCCGGCAGGAGAGGCCCCGGGGCACGGCGAAGACCAGCCTCGCTCGTTCTCGCCCTATGGAAAGGCCCCAGGGGGGTCCGGGGGATGCCCAGAGCTCGGCCGCAAGCGGCCTGCCGAGCCCGCGGCGGACTGGCCCTCGGGCCACGGCGCCTCTCTGCGTCGGCCGCCTCGGGCCGCGCGCTGGAGCTGAACTGCAAAGGGCGGTCGGCGGTCTTGCCGTGCAGAGGCTGGACGCGGCTGGGCTGCGGCGGGGTCAGGAGAGAGGGAGGGTGATGAGGACGACAACGGCAACGACGCTGAGGGGAGCTGGGAGGGTCAGGAGGCGGTGGACAAAAGGGGAGGAGACGGCGGAGGCACGCCTCGTTACGATGGCGCTCGCTCGCCTACGTCGGGGCAAGCATAAGACACGCATCGACAACCTTCTGAAGAACAGGAGGATCGATGAAAGCTCTCGGCCCAAGGTCCTATCCCAATGCCCCGAGGAACGCGCCGCAGCATCTTCTTCCTTCGCACATGCTTGGGTGTCCTCCCTAATTTCCGCACGCTGCCATTCAGCACTGCCCCCTGCCTGAACTGTTCGCCCACCCTTGGCGGCCATGCGCTGATGAATTGGCACACGAATTTCCCACTTGAGCCAGCTTCGAGGCGCGATGCGAAGATAAAAGTGTGTAGAACGTGCCGCGCCGTCTTCAATAGAAAATCCAGGCACACGCGCTGCACGCAGACTGAGCTTGAACACAAACACAAGTACACACACAGATGCGCGCGCACAAACGCGCATACACACAGAAAAACACACACACACACACTCACACACACACACACACACGTGGACAACTAAACGCGCGAGCCTTTCAAGCGGGTGGCGCGGCTCCGATATCGAACGGCTACCCAGTGCAGCGCAGAACCTGCTGGACCCGTCGGGCAAACACCCGCTGGTTCGCGCGCTGCTCCCTGCCCAACGCGCTGGTATCGCAAGTGTGAAGGCGCCGAAACCTCATCCGTGGGTGGCTACAGCGGGGCTTCCCTGAGATAACGACCGACCCCATCTCATTGCTGCATCTCTCGGTCTGGATCGATTCGTGATGGCCCTGCTTGGAACGGGAGGCAACGCCGGGCATAAAAAAGAGACAGCGTCCAAACCTTAGGGTTCGAGGGTCGGACCACTATTGTCATTGATGCTGTTTGTCTGGACACCGTCGACACGCGACATGCCCCGCGTTGAGCAGGGACCGACCGACCTGGCATTCCAACAGGTCTACCACGACAAGTATCGAGAACAACAAAATTCTGTCGTAACGAATACGAGGTTCTTAATCATAGAGCCGACGTGTGAGAACAGGACGGTTTCGGCCAGAACTGCTCTAAGAACATGTCGCGCAAACCGTAAAGGATTCTTACCCTCATAATACGCACCCCGACAGGCGGAGCCGATTAGCAAACGCACCCAGGGCCGTTCAGTTAACGCCAGTCCGTGGTCGGGGTCGGGGTGGTTGTTCCTCCCTTGGTATCAGAGGTACAGTCGGCCCGTGTCGTAAGGACGCGCGATAAGGGTGCACAGGCCGCGGACGCCCATTCCTGAGCTCCTCGAGCGGGGAGCGGCCAACGAAAGTGGCCAAGGATGGACCGAGGAGGCAAGGATACAAGGGTACCCTTGTGGAGGTTGCCCATCCTTGTTACGCAGGTTGACTGTAGGCCAGGACGCATCGCCAAAACCGGTGCAACAACTGCACACGGGGGGGCCCGGCGGGGCCTCACCGCCACCCATGCCTGGAAAGGCAGGTGCGGGAGCGAACGCCGTCTGCGCAGGATCCAAGTGGTCCTGCACCATGTCGGACTCTTCGATGCGGGCACTTTTCTTGACGGGCGAAGAACGGTATAAAATAAACTTTTTCGCTGTCGGGGGCGCCTGTCCCAGGGCGGCTGGAAAGTTTGTACCCATACGGTGGCACCGTTCCTGCGCGGCGGGAGCTCGTCAGCGCGCGAGCTCCTTCCGCTCGCTAGCTGGGGGGCCAGATGCGAACCCTACCCCTACCCCCCACGATTTCTGAGGGGGAGGGTGGGGTTCACTTTGCTCGGGAGCTCCCGAACGAAGTGACCCCCCCCCTCCCCCTCAGAAATCGTGGGAGGTGGGGGTCGGGTTCACATCTGGCCCCCCAGCTATAGTGCATCGCGCTGTCCACTCGCACTGCCTGTGCCAAGCTGTGCCACAGTGGACTCTGTTGTGGCAGGGGGGGAAGGGTGGCACTGGGCGGGCCTCGCTGGCTCGCTCGACCTGGCCAGTGCGGTCCTCACGCTGCAGTCGGACTGGATTGGAGAGGACACGCGAGAGGACAAAAGACCGTTCCGAGGGCCACCTCGTCGGAGGGCACCCACTATACACCAACACCGATCCTGGCCCAGGATCACCCTGGGCCCAGGATCGGTGTATATGCCTTCTTGCGCAAGGCAGGAGGGCGTATACACCGATCCTGGGCCCAGGGTGATCCTGGCCAGGATCGGTGTTGGTGTATAGTTGATGCCTTCCTACCTCGCCACAGGAATGTAAGAAGGCACGCGTCGCGAGGCACAAGCCACAAGGGTACCCTTGAGCTGGCAGGGTCGACCTACCAATCCGGGCCGACTGCACCCCTTCTCCACCGCCCCCCCCCCCGACCATCCGCGGCAGCGCAGCGCAAGACCCGCAGGCGACCGCACCAGACGAGGGCGCAAACGCGGCTCCGTGAGACGCTCCACTACTCGCAGAGTGACTTGACCACTCGCACATGGCCTGGGTCTGGCATGGGGGAACTGCACTCCAATACAACGCGCCGAACGTGCGTTTTCGAACGTTTGCGAGTAAGTAGGCAGTTTGTGAGCAGTGGAGCGCTCTCGGTGACCCATTGCTTCACGAGCGACCAGGCGCGGTCGTGCCGTGCCGGGCCGAGCGCCCACACGGCCTCGGCGCAGGACGGCCACCCCAGAGCGAGAGACTGAGAGGCAGTGAGGGAGAGACCGACCTCACGATGAGGCTTTCGCGGGCGCGCCGACTTCGATCCTCCCCCTCGCCCCCACCGCCTCCCAGAAGCAGGCCGAGCACGCGACTGCCCCATCGATCGGCGGTGGACAAACCTCCCTTCAGTAGACCTCACCTTCGTGAAATCGGCCTGGGACCGAAACCGACGGACCTGGACCCGCAAAAGTGACGGCCGCGACGCCCTCTCGCGAACCGAAAACGGCCAACTCCTTACTCGACGTGTCGGGGTACAGTCGGGGCGTTGACCTAAGGAACCCTACATAAGGAACGGGGCCCCTTTCTCCCATACGTTGAACTTCGATGTCCCGTGGGAAACCTCAGGAAAACTGAAGGCAAACTGCAGAACCATCAAGGAACACCGAGCCCTCCCCAACCTTGAAGGCTTCCTTTTCCAGGGCCCCGACTGTGGGAGGCCTGTCCACCCCCGAATCGGTGGGGGGCGGCGGGCGGGGAGGGGCGAGCGACGGGCGACGAGCGGCGAGCGGCACAGGGCACCGCCAGGCACGCGCGGGCCCCAGACCCCCGACGTCATGGATTTTTCACGACGTCGACCCCCAGAGGTCCAGACCCATTCCCCGGTACTGGTTTTTCGTCCTGAGTCGTTTTTTGACGGCCCCGAGGGCCGGTAAGGGCCCCCAGAGGCTGAAAATCATAAAAGACCCCGCGTCGTGATTTTTGTCATAACTCGAGGGGGTCTGGGGCGCGCGCCCGCGCCTTCTCTCTGGCGGCCCGGGCGGCGCGAGGACGCGCCGCTGTCCGCGCCGGCGGCGCGCGCGCCCCAGCCGGGAGGCGCGGAGGAGCGAGCAGCGCCTGTGGGGGGGGAGAGGGCGCGGGCCGGGGCGGCGGGCAGGGGCTGGCTCCGGGGGTTAGGGGGGGGGGGGAGGGACGAGGACGAGGACGAGGACGAGGAGGCGGAGGAGGAGGAGGAGGAGGAGGAAGGAGGAGGAGGAGGAGGAGGGAGGAGGAGGAGGAGGAGGGGAGGAGGGAGGAGGGAGGAGGGAGGAGGGAGCTGGAACTGGCGGCACGTCGCCGAGGGATCGGAACCTGGAGGCCCCAGAGGGGGACGCAACGCGTCAGCCTGGGCGGGCGGAGGGCGCCCAGGCCCCGGTGGCGAGCGGTGGTCGACGCTTTCCCACCCAGGGCCTCGTCCTCCTCCTCCCTCCTCCCCTCCTCCTCCTCCTCCTCCTCCTTCCTCCTCCTGCCCTTCCCCCTCCTCCTCCTCCTCCTCCTCCTCCTCCTCCTCCTCCTCCTCCTTTTCCCCCTCCTCCTCCTCCTCCTCAGGTTCTCCTCCCCCCCCCCAACTCATCCTCTTCCTCCTCCCCCTCCTCCTCCTCCTCCTCCTCCTCCTCCTCCTCCTCCTCGCTGTCGGCGCCCCCTGCAGATGTGCTGCAACGGGTTCTCGCGTGGACGTTTAACGACGCAGAACACCGAAACACGGCGGGCAAAGAACGGAGTCGACTCCACGAGGATATCTTTGGTACACCCTGCGAAATGCTTTAGAAATCATGGGTTAAGAAATTCATAGTCTCAGAATTTGAATTGAAAGCCCAGAAGTTCCATGAAAATCTTGGGATTCACATTGGAACATTAAGAAGAATCAAGACTCTGGACGAAAACGTAAGTTTTCTTCAGCATCGCCCAGGGTGTAGTATTCCTCCCTTGCCCAGAGACCAAAAAACCTCGCACGACATTCACGTCGAAAGCCCGAACGAAATGCTCCAGGCCAATCCGGGCCCATCCCAGTGTATTCCGAGCGAGGTCCGCTCTGCGATGTTGGCGCCATGCGGATGGAGGCCTCCTAGACGGGGTCCGAGTAGGTGGGGTCGGAGGATCGCGCCAGCTAGACAATACATCGGCGATGCATCGGAAAAGGGTCTTGCGACATCGGCGATGCATCGGCGACGTCAGCGTGGAGAAACCTGGGCCCCACATCGAGCCGCATCGCCAATGCATCGGCGATGCATCGGTGATGCGGCGCGATCCTCCTCCGACCGCATCTGCTCCGCCCCATCTAGGAGGTCCAGAGTGCAGGGTCCCTGGGACACACACAAATAGATACACACACACACACACAAATAACAGGGTTCCCCATACTTTCCCATATTTTCTGGGTTGTTGTCTCCCCCCCAACATCCCATATTTTTTCCAATCTTTTCTTGGGAATCGACGACTGATTGTGCCTGTGTAGTTCTTCCCCTCCTGAATATTAGG